AAAGTGCATAATAGATAAACTTCTGACCTTAGAAGAACTTAATAGAAGAAGGCCAGATATATATACAACAACAGAGTTCCAAGTATGCCAGGACAAAGTCAAAGAAACACAATCACATTTAGCATCATGCAAAGAACAACGAAGTCTTTGGGAATGAATTCAAAAGATGACAATTGCAACAGCCTGAAAGGGGTTGAAAGAAGAAGAAAAAACACACATCTCTCTATATGTACTATATACAGCACTCTTCAGAAAGGTTGAAGCAGAAGAAATAGAAATGAGAGAAGCATTAATCAAAGGCTTAATTTCAAAAAAGACGCAAAACAGACTAATACAGCTTCTTAGTACAAAGGCAAGACAGTGCTTTATAGAGACAGTAGCAAAAACAGCATGGGACACATTTTATGAACAAGTCTGGAGGATACAGTGTGAAAAAATTAATGAATGGGAGAAAAAAGAAGGCATAACAACCAAAATAAAAAAGAAAGAAGTAAAAAAGAAGAATCCAGAAAAGAAAGGAAAGGCAAATTAGCAAAAGATTGAAGAAGAAAGAAACTGAGCAAAAGAGAAAAAGAATAGAATTAATGAAAAAACTAGGAAAACAATGTTGGGACTTGTTGTGGAAGGGAGAAGACCCTTTCATTATGGACTTTAAGTAGTCAGACAAGTAGCCTACTTCTGTTTGAAGTAGTGCAGCAGGTTGCACTTAGGTACCTGTAAGGTGGCCGGGTGATGCTAGACTTAGTTATTAGATAAATCTATGTAATTGCAAATGTAATTTCAAGAGTTTTAATAAAGTACTAGCATGACTGCTTAAGGTTAAAAAAAAAAAAAGAAATACTTGTAACAAGTTCATAAAACATCTTGTCAACTAATAATAAAGATTTTATTTTATCAAAAATGTATATTCATATTCTTTAAGAATTATCAAGTAGATTGCTTTTAAAAACATTTTAATTTATATAGTAAAGAATCTAATCAGTTTGAAACTGATTAGAATGTTAAGAAATACAATTAAAACATTAATTGAAGTTGATATCATGTCTTAAAAAATGATTTACAAAATAAAATAAATTATTTTCTTGATAAACATCCAAGACCTTATTACTGTTTTTTCTATAAACTGAGATATTTTTATGTTCACAAAGATAAATCTCATATTTATGACTAATACTATAATGATTGAAAAATTTTGATAAATGATCATGATCAAGAAATCTCATCTTAAAATCTTCTTTGACTTGATTAGTAAAAGGTAAATTATAAACATTACAATGATTGATAGTTTCTTTGATAAGTAAATTGGTTTTTTTTACAAAAACAAGTTCGATTTTTTCACAACAAGAACAAGTATTAAATCTAAATTTTTGTTTACTTAATTCTAAATATTTTTTTAATGCACATTTTGAAAAAATATCTAAAACTTCATCATCATCTTTTTTAATCATATAAATTTTCTCTTCTTCATCATTGAAAAAATCATGTTGCTCATTCCAATATTTGTCAAAAAATTTATTTGGATCTTGTAAAGTTAATAACTTTACAATAAGTTGTTTAGTATTTTTATCATACATTTTTTAATTTACATAATAAAAAATCTAATCGGTTTGAAACTGATTAGAATAAATTTATTTAATTAATAATTTTAATATTACATCTGCATAAATCAAAAGAACATTTGTTTTTAAATCTAATGTTTGATAATTTTACTTCAGAATAAAGTAATTCAAATAAATATTCTCTGCTAATTTTATCAACAATGTTCTGGTCTTTATCAAGAACAAATTCATGTTCTTTTAAAAAAGGTCTTAGTTCTTTATTAAAAAGAGTATTTTGTTTATTATTCAACTTAATTTGAGTATATTCAGTAATATGTTCATTGTTATCAAAATACATAATTGATCTTCGAAAATTTGTTTTTTCATTTTCTCTAAACTAGGTAAAATCAGTTTTCTTAATTAAACAAACATCAATACTGACATTTGAATCCTGATTATCTGAATTACTTGAAAATTGAAACATTGTTAAATGATACTCAAAAAAAAATTTAATTGGTTTATTAAACTAATTAAATTTAATTTTATTTATTTATAAAATAAATTTGTGTTTTTTTTTCTTTTTTTTTGATATGCCACTAGCCTCGTATGTGCTTATCATAGGTTGTGTTTTTAAATGATAAGTGAATCTTATTGTAATTCATGTTTCTGATTGGGTCCCTCACCCATTTTCATATGTTGTATTCAAACTTCTCCTAATCATCAACATAAATTGACATTTTAATTCTTACAAATATAGCAATAATTTATATATATAAAAAAAATATATATATAAATTTATTTTAAAAATAAATTGAAATAATTAACAAAATTATTTGAAATAATCTTTGATAGTATTTTGATATTCTGGTAAAATTAATTCAATATTAGGATTTTTTGAACCTATATATGCCAGTCTGTCTGCTTGTTCATTCTCATAAATACCACTATGGTCTTTTACATGTTTTAAATGTTTTTCCTTTACATTCTTTGATTAAATCATTGAATCTATTAACTAAATCAAAATTTTTTTTTGGTTTTTTAACATCATGAAAATTAATAACATATATACTATCAGTATTAATTATTAAATTTTCATTTTTATTACAAATTTTAAGAGCTCTAATTGCTGCATAAATTTCAGCATGGTTGTTAGTTTGTTGTTTTCCTGATAATCATTTAGATAAATTTCTGATATCTTTGTCTTCAAAAAAAACTTTAATACTACCAATCGCATATGATAAACTATTTCTTTTACAATAACCATCTGTCTATACATTTAATGTATTTTTAATATAATCAATATTTTGTTGATCTATAAAATTTTGAGCCTCGATCTTTATATAAAATGATTTGTACAAAGCTCTAGGATATCTATTGACATATTCTTTACATTCTTTCCATGATGTAAAAATCTCTGTCTTTTCTCTTTTTGCTATTGCATAATATTTTAATGAAGTAATTTTAGGTATCTGGATTTACAGCATAAATAATTCAAGTAAATGAATTACAATTATAAATACCAGTTGACAAACAACCCATGATGAAGTAGCTGAGTTAGCAGAAAATGAGAGTTAGTAAAATTTATTACATAAAGTAAAGATTATTACAAGTTGCAAATCTCTCTTACCTTAAAAAAATAATGAAGTTTATATGAAAAAAAATCCAATCTGTCACACAAAACTGATTAGATTGTTTAGACCAATTGAGAATACAAAAGAAAAATAATATTATACAAACAATGAAAAGTAAAAATGTAAAAGATTTTGCTAATTCAATTAGACAAAATGATAAGTTTGAACCAATTTCAATATTTAGTTCAAAAGCCATTTTTAATGAAAAGAAGGACAATAATGTGAGTTTATATATTTTTTAACTTATGTGATGTTATTAAAATGATAATCGAAATTGACAAGTTCAGGGTGCAAAAACTTTAAAAACTTGCTTCAACACATGTAACAAACTGTATGAGAGTGCCAAGTTATAAACTGTAATTGTTTACATTTTTTTACTAAACATCTGTTAAAACTAATTTTTAATTCATAAGAGAAACAGAAAATATTTGATTTACATAAATTACAGATAGATTTTAGGTTTTTAAATTCTTCTTTGGTGACCAAAGTGAAATAAATTTTGGAATTTTCGAAATGTAATAGATTAAGCTGTGTTTCTTTTTTCAAGTAATTCACAGTAATCATACATTTAAGTTGCTCTTCCTCTGAGATATCTTTAATAAATATGAAGTAATTAACAGAAATCATAAAAAAAACATATATGTAAGGTTTTATCAAATAGTTATTGAATAGTTTGATCAAAATGTATTTTGTTCCATATTTATTGAATAACATTATATAAAGTTTGTGCCAAAGTTGACATATTGTTTTAATTGTGTTTGAGATTAACACATCCATGAGTATAATTTTTTCTGAATTGAAACATGAGTAAAATATCATTATCAATATTTCATTAGGAAATAAGTTGATGTAAACCATGATTACATGAATAAAAATCTACTCAGTCAAAACTAAGTAGATGATTTATTTGAATAAAAATTAAGAGTATAACCAATTTTTTAATATATTAGAATATGAAGAAGAAGAAAAAACTGATCATTATCTAGAAGTGCATTGTAGCTTTGGCCTTGGTAAAGTGCTGTTAAATATGAATCACAATATTCACAAACATTTACACTATATTTTAGATAAGAATCATTATCAAAAGATTGAACTAACTTTTTTTAGAACTTTTTTACAATCCGATTCTGTGTTTCCAAAGAAAGTGAATCCTTGTGTCTCACAATATGTATAAGATTTACAGTTCTGACATCTGCTTTTTCCATATTTACAAAATGTTTCAGCATCTACAAATATTAATGTCCTTTTGAAATTCTTCAAATAATTTGTCTCAATATATAGTTGCTTTTCTAATCTTAACTTATGAGAGAATCAAGAACCATCTTTGTTAATGTCGATCTAGATGTTTTTGGGACAGTATTGTACATTCCATTTGTATGAGGTGGGAGGACTATATAATAAATTGTATTTTTGTATCAAGTAGTATCTGGTTGCAATCTTGTTGAAATAATAATAATAATAATGGTGAAATGTTTTGTACATGAATTTTAGTTTTCGAAATTTACCAAATTTTTTATCATCTAATATAATCTTTGAAGCTGAAGTCAAGAAAAAAAATATTTCATGATGTATATCATAAGGCAATGAAATAAAATGCTATATGTTATTAATAAAATATGAATCAAGTTTACATCTATGATATTTTCTTTTTTCTTTGCTTTTTTGAGATGTTAGTTTTATATTGAATTACATGAATAAATCTCTGCTCAGTAGAACTAAACAGATTATTTATTAAAAAATATTAAACAAAATTTTTTAAATTCCTTATTCTGTTCTAATAATCTAATATCATAAAATTTTCTGGTTCTAAAAATTCATTATTTTCATTGTAAAGTTTATTGAAATATTCATTACAATCTTTGCAAATTTTTATACAATATAATAAATAATGATTTTCAACAGACATAGGTCTAATCTTTTTATATAAAGCATCTTTACATTCTGATTTACAATGAGTTGAAAAATTATAAGAATATACTACACAATATGTAAATGATTTGCAATTTTGACATCTGCTTTTTCCATAAGTTTCAAGTTCATTCAATTCAATAAACATCAAAGTTTTCTTGAAATAATCACAGTATAATTGATTATTATATGTATAAAATTTATGAGAGTGAGAAAATTTAGAGTAAGAATCAACATCACCATCTTTAAGGTTGATCTAAATGTTTTTTGGACAATAATGTATATTTCATTTGAAACATTTTGGTGGTTCATGATCTCAATTGTATTTCTTTTGGATTAAATAATATTTTGTTCCAAATTGAGCAAAATAATATCTATAAACTGACAGAATAATTTACATACAAATTTTAGTTTTTGAAATTCAACAAATCTTCGATCATTTAATATAAATTTTGATAATTTTGTAATATCTGAAGGTATTAACAGTAAAAATATTATATAAAGTATATCATCTGGTAAATAAATAAATAGTCACCTGTTTTTGAAATTCTTTATAGAATATAGATTGATTTTTTTGCATTTGTGTTTTTCTTGAGGCATGATTATGTAAATAAACTTCTGTTCGGTACATTTTACTGAACAGATAAATTTGTGAAGTGCTAATTGTGTCTATAATGTATTTACATAAATTTACTAATAAAATACATGTTCTTTTATAAAAGTAAGATCATTGTAATAAATTAATTCTGTTATAATTATCATCTTCAAATCGATTATTGGTTCAATTAATAGGTTGTAAAGTTGAGAAAAGGATTTTAATTAGTCATGTTTTTCTGTTAATAGTATAAAATCATTGAATTTATCAATATCAAATTTGTTTTTTGTTAGAAAGTTTATTAGTGAAGAAGATCTTTGCATCTTCATGTAAAGTTTTGTTATCTCAACATAATCCATGACTTTGATCTAGTTGTTATCAAATAATTGGTATTGCATCTTGTTAAAATTAAAAGAGAAAGAATTTTTTTTACCTTTATATATACTTTCATTTACTTGATTCTGGTTGTTCATCAGCTTGTAATTTATATTTACATGATATATCAGAGTAACAAAATTTGTCTAATTTTAATTAAGTTTTTTGTTTTTTATTGTTTTCCTGTCTGTGTAATTCTTCAGTTGATTTTCATTTAGTCATATCAGGTATTGTTTCAACAAACTCAGTTATCTTTTATTGGTTCTCTTCAATAAAAAATTCTGTTATTGTTCATTGCTTTTTAAGTTCCTCAGCATCAAATATTTTCTTTATTTTTTTGAGAACTTACTTCTCCTTACAGCCTAAAAGATGAGACACGATGTCTTGCAAGCTATAAAAATAGTATACAATATTAATAGTATCTTTCTCTGGATCGAAATAGACTGTTAAAATTATTTTGTGTGAAACACTTGATACACCTAGTAGAAAATTTATATAATAGTAAAATCATTGTTCTGATTCAATAGGGTGTTTCAATCTAGCAATAAAACTATTAACCATCTTGTTTCCTTTTTTTGTATCAGATTTTGTGATTTGCTTAAGAATTTTATTTTATTATTCTTTTAACAGATCTTTGTTTAATAATCTTACAAAATCAACTGCTAATACTGAAGCATATGTTGAGTCAAACTTGGCTATAAGAACAAACAAGTCTAATAGTGTTTCTTTTTTATTAACATAGTTAGTGATTATCTGTATGACTAATTCTTTTTGGTCTATTTCTTCTTGTCTGATCGAGAAATCTTTATTGAATCCAAGTGAAGAATATATTAATTTTTTCACTACTAGTTTGTAAAACTCTGGCACATTATGTTTAATAATTTTGAGATCTTTCAATAGTAAATTTAAAATGTCTAAATTTGGCACATCTAAATGAGTAATTACGATATAATGCTTTTTTCCAAAAATTAAAAAGAGATACATGGTTTTTTCATAGGCCATCTTCAAGTATGTGGATTTCATAATCTGTTTTAAGTATTTATTAATTTTGTTTCTAGTATCTTTGAGTGTAATATTGTTAATTTGATCTATTCCTTCCAATACTCTTTTTATGATAATAATCTGTCAGAGTACTTAGTATCAAGTTCTGTGAAATATGATTCTGGCAATGAACAAAATATAGAATCTGTGTCTTCATAAACTACTATAAATTCTTGTTCTTTCATGAAATCAATCATGATCTTTAATGTTGCTTTACAAAATGCTATAACTGATGAAACAACTTCTTTATGATATAATGGTGAATATCTGTAATCTGTCTTACTATACACAGAGTTTGCAAATATTTTTAATGCATTTGATAAAGAAGTGTAGTATAAAAGTTTTGTTTCATTATTTTTGAACAATTTCATCTTTTGCTTTACATTATTTTATTTTTCTAATAATTCTTTACACATAAGAGTCATAATACCTATGTTGTTTATATTATTGTTATGTGGTAAAAATTTATCATAAACAATGTCATTGTCAATTACAACATTTAAATTAGGATTAGTTGAATCTTTTGGTATACATTTTTCAAGTAATATGTTGTTTTGTATAATATCATGAGGGTAATATGAAGTAAAATCAACATCTGGCACAGGTCTTTTAATGTTCTTAATTGGTAGAATGACCAAACCTCCATCATACATTCCTTCTTTAACAATTTCTTTGCATTGTGATGATACTAAAATCTTTTTAGGTGATGCATATCTGTTAAGCAAATTTCATATTAAACATCTGATATCATTGGTAAAAACATTAGAAATTGTCATATATGCAATTCTGGCTCTTTGTATATAATCACCAATTATGTTTCACTTTAAGTTCAATTTATGTAATCAAAATGTATCAACTAAACAATAATATGCTAACTCTATCACATACTCTTCCAACATTAATTCTGAAATTTGAAATGCATTTAAACAATCAGAAAAAGAAATGTTTATTAATTTTAACAGCTAATCAGATAATTTTTCTAACATCTGATTGTTGTTTTTAAACTTTATCGCATTTATATAAACAAACATGCATCATAGATTTGAGCTGTTTTTTGTAGACACATATAGTAAATCAATTTTTTCAGAAAGGCCACAACATTTTAATACTGCATTGAGAGTATTGGTAATCTTTGTTTGAAATGTTTTCTTAGCCCAGACCAGAAAATCAAGAAATACTGTTCGTGAGATTCATATGAATTCACATTTTATAGTCTCATTTGGTAATATTTTGATCTTTCAATTGTTCATATTGATTCTTGCAAATTCATATTTTAAATTATCTTTATCAATATTATGATCAACAACTCGTACTGTTTCATGTTGTATATTGAACTGAAGAGTTGTTTTAGTTTTGGTTAAGAGTCTAATAAATTTATCATCTATATTCAACAGTCTGGCTTTTTTAAGTATAAAGTTTCAATCGAATTGGTCTGTATTGTAACCAATCTCAAATTCTGATTTATAATTTCTAACTAATTCAGCAAATTTTAGCAAAAGCTGTTCTTGAGTTTGAAGCTCAATGAATATTAATTCTGTTGAATCATATTTTAAATGAAATTTTTGGCTGTTTATGGAAATAGTTGATAAACAAAATCTCTTTTGAGAAATAGATTCATTGTAAAATACAATATCGAATTGGATCATGTATACATAATCATCTTCTTTCTTACCTATAAGAAAAAAACCTGGACCTTAAGATGATGATGTTTTAATGTCTTAATAAAGTAATAAGAGTTTTGGTTCCTCAAAATAATCAATTTTTTTGATATCATTAAATATAATTAACATGTTGTTGAATATTCTTGGAGCATTTATTTCATATCATCCTACTAATTCAAAATCATTCTCATATGCAACTGTTCTGTAATAACATGTTTGATTGTCTGAATATATATTATAGTATTGATCAAATTTTTTTATTCTTTCAAGAAGAATTTCTTCTTTTTTAGTTTCAATCTTTTTCAATGCTTCTTTTCTTTTTTTTAAAGTATTGTAATATAATTATAAAAACATAAATTTCTCTGTTAAATCAAATGTTTGTCTATATATTTTTTCATAACTTTCTGATTCAAATTTATTATTGTATTTTCTTAAATCATCTTCTAAATATAACTTTATATCAAAAAAAACTGAATCTACTAATACATTTATTGTAAATTTGGTTCCATCTAAACAGACTGTTAGTAATGATAATATATATTTTTGGTTGAATATCGTTGAATCTATCATATTATATATATAAAATTTGTTTGTATCAAGAGGTTCTATTAATTCTGAATAATTGTACATTTTGAGTTATACACAAAAAAATCTATCTGGTATTATATATTAAAAAATATATCTGGTCAATTGACTAGATAGATGTTATTTATTAAATAATAAAAATATTAATTATTTGAAAAATAAATACTAAATAGTCCTTTAATTGTTAAATTTTTAAAATCTAAAACACTATTTTTTTCTGTTTCAATGTTTGTAATTCCCAATTTTGAAATATCAGATAAAGTTTCTTTACCAGAAACTTGAGGACGAGTTAAAAGTAGAATAGCTTGTTTAACAAGATAAAACTCATGATGTTGAGTTTCAATATGAGCTTTCATAGTGTTGATTAAGAAAGTATCAAAAAATTCTGTACAAATTTTATATTTAACTTTTCCAGAATCATAAATATGATAGTTATCTGTGATAGTTTTCTTTTCTTGGTTCATATTTGAATTATATACAAAAAAATCTATCTGGTCAATTAACTAGATAGAAATAATTAATAAAATAAATAAACA